CACCTATGCTCCTAATCACTTGCTTAGGGCACCTCCCCACCTGCACCAAAAGTAACAGCTATGCCAATCAACTTCATCTTCCATAATGCCTCTCTCTCTCTCTCTCTGTCTCATCTAGAGTTTAAAAAGCCCATAATAGGGCAGACAGAGTCAGGAAAAGTGGTGCCCTGCCTAATATTCAATTTCTTGCCCCTTATGTGGACTGTATCCTGACTCTGACCAACCCGAGTAGCTGACTGACCAGTCCAAGCACCTGGACTTGTATTAGCAGTTGTACTTGATTTGCTGTGCTGGGATCCCTTATACAAAAGCTTTTCCCTTGACTTGACTAATGCCTGCTGAGAACAATGATATGTTTCCTGCCTTTGCGTCTGCACTAAACCACAAGACCAGACAGAAGTAATATGAGGCTGGTATCTCTGGCTTATAAGGAAAAGTGCACAAAGGCAAGGCAAGACAATGGAAGACTGCGTTACTGTCAGTATCCAAGCCGGCTTACAGTGGTTCAGTGCTTTGACAGTGAATGAGGAGCTCAGAGATGCAGGCTGGTCCAGTCATCGAGCTGGCCGTGTCCCTCAGCACACAGAATTATTTCATCAGTATTACACTGAAAGTTGTTGGTGCAACCTAAGGTGCAGGATTGAAGTGCAGAAGTGCCCTATAATTGGATTGGTGATGTGTCACAAGGGGTCTCTGGCACATGTCAGATGCCAATCTCCAAGGGGTGTGTGTGGGTAGTAGCAATGGATTGTGACCTGAGGTGTTAACTAGAACATAGAACAATACAGGACAGGAAAAGGCCTTCGGCCCACCATGTCTGCACCAACCATGATAGCATTTTAAAACAAATCCCATCTACCTACACATGGTCTGTAGCCTTCTATTTTCTGCCCGTTCATGTGTCTGTCTAAATGCCTCGTAAACCTTGCTATCATATCTGCTTCTACCACCTCTCCTGGCAGCATGTTCCAGGCACTTGTTGTCCTCCGTATAAAAAACCTGCCTTGCATATCACCTTTAATGTTTCCCACTCTCACTTTAAATGTATGCCCCCAATATTTGACATTTCCACCCTGGAAAAATTACTCCAACTATCCACCCTATCCATGCATCTCATAATTTTATGTACTTCTGTCAGGTCGCACCTTAGTCTCTGATGCTCTAGCAAAAACAATCCAAGTTTGTCCAATCTCTCCTCACAGCTAATACACTCCTATCCAATTAACATCCTAGTAAAACTCTTTTGCACACATTCTTCCTGTAGTGTGGTGACCAGAACTGCGCACTATACTCCAAATGTGGCCTAACTAAAGCTGAAACATGACTTGCCAATGTTTATACTCAATGCCCTGAACAATGAGATCAGGTATGCCTGTGCCTTCTTTACCACTTTGTCTATTTGTGTTGCCACTTTCAGGACACTCTGTTCCTCTATTTCCCTCTGGCTATTTGGAGTCCTATAGTATAACCCCATTATAGTGACTGCATCTTATTCTTGAGTTCTTGTTCTCGAGGGAGTGCAGCGAAGATTTACCAGGCTGATTCCGGGGATGGCGGGCCTGATGTATGAGGAGAAACTGACTAGGTTAGGATTGTTTTTGCTGAAGTTGAAACAAACTGCGGGGGGTGAGATCTTATAGAGACTTATAAAATTCTAACAGGACTAAACAGGGTAGATGCAAGGAGGATGTTCCCAATAGTGGGTGTGTCCAGAATCAGGGGTCACAATCTGAGGATTTGGGGTAGGCCATTTAGGACGGAAATGTGGAGGCATTTCTTCACCAAAAGAGTGGTGAGCCTGTGGAATTCGTTACCACAGGAAGCAGTTGATGCCAAAACACTGAATATATTCAAGCGGTGGCGAGATATAGTACTTACTCGGGGTGAATGGGATCAAAGGATATGGGAAGAAAGCAGGATTAGGCTACTGAGTTAGACGATCAGCCATGATCGTGATGAATGGCGGAGCAGGCTCAAAGGGCTGAATGGCTTTCTTCTATGTTTTTATGTATATGGCCTTGTTAGATGAGCCCTCCAAGATATCTTCTCCTCGTGCAAATGTAGCATTTTCCTCGATCAATAATTTGACATGATTTATTATTATATATTATTATTATATAATTTGTTACAGTGAAAAGTATTGTTTTGCTTGCTAACCAGGAAAGTCATATCTTACATCAGGATAATAGAACAGAATGCTGAATATAGTGTTATAACTACAGAGAAGGTCCAGAGAAAGATCAACTCTAATATATGAGAGGTCTGTACGTAAGTTGGATAACAGCTGTTCTTGAATCTATTGGTACTTGTTTACAAATTTTTGTATCTTTTGCCCAATGGAAGAGGGTGGAAGAGTGTATAACCAGGTTGGGAGGGGTCTTTGATTATGTTGGCTACTTTCCTGAGGCGGCAGGAAGTGTAGACTGAGTCAATGGAAGGAAGAGACAACAAGGTGCAGGGCTGGATGAACACAGCAGGCCAAGCATCATAGGAGCAGAGAGGCTGACGTTTCGGGCCTAGACCCTTCATCAGAAAAGGGGGAGGGGAAGGGGGTTTTGAAATAAATAGGGAGAGAGTGGGAGGCGGATAGAAGAGGGATAGAGGAGAGGATAGGTGGAGAGGAAACAAACAGGTCGAAGAGGCGGGGATGGAGCCAGTAAAGGTGAGTGTAGGT